AAAGCAGATGATATGTGTATAATACAAGCTACTAAAAAAATCCATTTATTTACATTTATTATTTAAATATAAATGATGAATTCAGAATTATTTTCTAAAGTTACACTAAATTAACACCCAAACTTGACATGAGCAGTTTGCTTTTCTCTGGCTCATATGACTGTTACCGTGCTGTCTTTCCACCAATTTGACTAATTTCTTTATTTCCTTTTCATCTGTACTGTAACTCTAACTCCGTAATCATCAGTACGTGAATATCTTTAGTTATTATCTCCGTGCATATTTCAAGGTCTTTCATTTCTCATGGAAATATGCTGTTGTGGGTTCATGTGGATAAAATGGGGAACCGAAAAGCGGATAATGTGTGACTAATACCAGCTCTATAAAAACCTGGTTGCTTCATGGGTTGATGGGACCCGAATTTCGACATACATCTTCCTACCCATGAGGATTTTTAAACCGAGCAGTCGCCGATATATCGCAATAAAGGCGTTGATAATGGTACATATCGTCATTGTTTATCGCGATAAATTCTACGTCGCGATCTATCAGACAGTTCCGATAGATCGCGATGTAAGTTATTACTGCGTTATCTCTATGATTTATCACGATGCAAAGCAGCGTTTCGTTCGGACGTGATAAATATTTATCGATCAACATCGCGATACTGATTCGTATCGCGTTAAGTTGTAGAAATATCCAAATAGAAGAAATAGTTAGATAAATCGTAGTGCCTTTTTATCGGGATGTATCGCGATAACATACTGTTGATATGAATACGGTGATAAGGCGCACTGATTTTTTTACAGTGTTTTAACGCAATCTCAAGTCTATCGTGATATGAGCGCGAATTAACGTGATACTTTTAAAAAATATTAAAATACAGACAGGAAACACGTTAACTAGCTTAAAATAAAGTAGGAAAACGGTAAAAAACGTAATTATTCTCATCATTTTTTAAGTATTAATTTTTTATTTGCCTTTTATTTTTTAAGTTTAAGTGTCTCTTCGTACACTTACCACGGTTTACTTTTCTTTTCTATTTCGACTAAAGAATGATGAATTATTGTCAAAAAGTCAGATTTTTTTGTGTTAATTTACCTAATTTTACACCTCTAATCACCTTACTCATCATATTACTTATCAACAAATTCAAAAGAATCTTTCAAATATGTACCAGCCTCTGACATTGCTAGTAACAAGTAGCGTTCATCACTCTGATTCACTTATCCCTTGACTGGAAAGGAATCGCTGGTAGCAAATTATTTCTATAGAATATTATATTTATCTTTCTTGTTCACATTACATTGAGGGCTGCGCCATTACGATTACAAAATGTAAAGTTCAAACACTGCTACTATTCCTAAAATTTTAAATTCTGAACTTTGCATATACATGTTGAAAATTCTTGCATACATGTAAAGTTGCACACTCACTCTCACCCCAAGAATTCAGGAATTTAGAATTCTGAACATGTTAAGTTGAACCTTAATAATAGCAAGAATACTATCTGTGTTTCAACTTTACATTTTGTAACTGTAATCGCGCATCTCTGCTTGCAATGCAAGAGGTAAATGAGGCACATTCCCAATTCTTAAATTATTATTTCTAATCAATCTCGTATTTTATGTCTTGACGTGTCGGTTTGTCTGTCCGCTAATAACTTGTGTCTACGCCCTAACACACAGGGAGTAAGACCCTTTCCTTTACAGTCAAGGGAAAATCATTTTCATCCTATCAAATTGAGCCAAGTAACGCTCGCTAGCCCGGTGACTCTCCACCAAAGGCTCGGCGCTGTTCAGCTAGTGGTCTAGTTTTCATTATACTATCGGTCGTATGTAACGCTTGTTCGCAACGTGACAGCTTTTCACACTGTTGATCACTCCCTGCATATATACGCAAGGTGACTTTAGGAACTTATATCTGCGAATGACCTTCGATGACGTTGAATCAAAGACAAGGCTTACACCTCCCTTCGGTCGGTGTTCGCTAAGGGACTATCCACAATATGTGTGTACGTACGTCCTTCACACCGTGTTCAAACGTCTGTGTAAGAATTCCGTAAAACGGTCTTTCAATGTGTGTGAACGCCAGTCCGTCACACTGATGTTTTTCTGTGATACTCAGCACCATCTATCACTCTGCTTACCTAGTGGATAATTACTTCAGCCATACGTGTTTTATGGACAGACCGGCATTTAACAGCTCCCAGACTCTTCCTACGGTGGAGCGAATGCAATTGTCGACCAATAGAATGCATCGTAGAGGTCGCTCATAGTCATTTTCAGATTCCCCATACTCGAATATTTATTGGACACTATTTTCATCCAACGAAGGTGAGATAAACATTACGACCAATACAATCGGTCCTAGAGGCCGCTCATAGTGATTTTTTGATTGCCGATAGTCGAAGGCCTATTCCAAACCATCTTCATCCAACGAAGTTGCCATAAAAATTTCAACCAATCGAATCGATCCTAGAGGTCGCCCATAGTGATTTTCTGATTCCCCATAGTCGAAGACCTATTCCATATCATCTTCATCCAATCAAGTGGAAATGATGTTTTCGACCAATAGAATCCACCGTAGAGGTCGCTCATAGTCATTTTCTGATTCCCCATAGTCGACTACCTACTCGGTATCATTTCAGCCAATGAAGTTACCGCTACTAACTTGTGTGCACCTCAGGTAGGAAGTAAGCGTCCGGTGTACCTGCTATAATCAAGACACGACTACATATTTGGCTAACTTATTTATTATTAGCAGCAATGTCAGAGAATAATTCATATTTGAAAGATTCTTTTGAATTTGTTGATAGAATCAAATTAGAATTAAAATTAGTTGTAAGACCTTGTGAACTAAAGAGCAAAAAAGAAGAAGTATTTTCTTCGTCATTCCTTCTTGACACCTTTTTGCAGGACACCAACATAGAATGATCAATTTATTACATATAGTACTTTGTATTTAAATACTACTAGTAATTAGTTTACAATCCTTTGTATGTTGAATAACTCCTTTATATCTGGACTTGATTCCGGTCGGTCGGTCGCTATTACTCTTATCCTTTGTTCCGCCATCTCTATTCCGCTATCCTCTATTCCTCTGTTCTACTATCCTCTATTCCTCTGTTCCGCTATCCCTCTGCACAAGTAGACCTTGAGAAAGTATGAGAAACCCGAAAAGGATTTGTCCCCACATGCCTTTCTTTCTGAATTATGATCGTTTTTCTGTTTTTTTAACTTGTGACAATGTATTTTCAGAAAATCGAATGAACGACTTTCAATCTGAAATTTTATCAATAAGTAGATCTTTTAACCCTTAGAATGCCTCAAAAAAATTAGTCAAACTGATGCTTCCTTTTCGAGATACTGAATTCTCAAGAAAATTCGAGTTTTCCCAATTTTTTCTAATATATAGTCGTGTTTTTAAAATCTATTAAGCCGTGAGGAAAGCATCAGTTTGACTAAATTTTTTGAGGCATTATAAGGGTCATTAGACCTATTTAATGACAAAATTTCAGATCGATAGTCGTTCATTCGATTTTTCTGAAAATACATTGTCACAGGTTAAAAAAACAGAAAAACGATCATAATTCAGAAATAAAAGGCCTGTGGGGACAAATCCTTTTCGGGTTTCTCATACTTCCTCAAGGTCTACTTGTGGGCAAAATATCAATTTGAAAGGCGTCCGGCACTTCCGAAGGTTCCTTCGTAAATAGTTATTATATTTCTACTAAATTTTATTTCGGAAGAATATTCCCGTTTGTCTTATCATTGCAAGAACTTCTCATGAGGACATTTTCCATACACTTATCGCGATAAGTTATCGAGGACGTCACGAAGCTTTTGCAGTTACGGCGATAAATAATTTATCGGGCAAAGTAACCTTTTTTATTGCCACAATGTTATTATCGCGATTTATCGATAAACGATCTTTATCGTGGTAATGAGCTACTTTATCGAAATAAAGTAATTATCGCCGTAACTGCAAAAACTCCGTGATGGCCGCGATAAAACAAGCACTTATCGCGATAAATGCATCGAAAATGTCCTGATGGGTACTTCGTCTGCTATCTGCTCCCTACAACCGATGGTTCTGCGTCAAATCTTGAAATGAGAACCGAACAAAAAAGGGACGATATTCTTTGCTGCGCAAAACATGTGGATTAATCATTCGACGTGCATAGTTTGTTTTCCTCTGGCTGACATGATTGTCATCGTCCTATCTTTCTACTAATTTGACTTATTTCTTTATTTCCTTTTCATCTGTACTGTCACACTGGATTCGGAATTATCAGTATATGCATATCAGTAGTTATGATCTATATTTATGATCTACATATTTCAAGGTCTTTCATTTCCCAAGGAAATTTGCTGTTGTTTGTCCATGTACATGAAATGGGGAACCGAAAAGCAGATGATGTGTGTATAATAGTAGCTCTTTAAAAACGTGACTGTTTTGAGAATGGATGGGACCCGAACGTCGACGCACTTCTTCCTACTTCTTCTGCTACCTGCTCGCTACAAGCGATGTTTCTGAGTGAAATCTTGAAGTGGGAAGAAAGTTAAGAAAGGATGAGAGTCTTTGCTGCATTAAAATGTAAATTAAGTTTTCTATGGTTTGTTTAAATGCTTGTGCTCTTCATCAACTAAGGAGTCATGTTGTTTTAACTCTTTTGTATATTTTTCTGCTTATCTCGTGGAAATGTTGAGAGAGTTTTAGTAGTATCTGAAGGAAGAATCATTCTAAAGTGGGAGAGCGACATAATAGTGATAAGAAAGGTTAACGCAGAGAGACTGAAGTTTAATGGATACGGCGAGAGGATTTAGGAGAAACCACTTGACAAAGAAGAAGTGAATGTTCTTTACAACGCATATTTAGCAAAACATCATGATCCGCGTTTTAATTATTTGGTTTTTATCTTCCAGATACATAAAGTATTATATGCTTTTTTCTCTTCTGTACGTTATTTATAATACATTGAAAACAAAAGAACGCCGATGAAGCCATCTGAAAAATACAGAAATATATTACAAGAAAATATCAAAGCCGGTGCAGAAATTAAGTTTGATTTACAATGGATATTGAATCAGAATGAAATGTCCATTTTTAATGGTTATAAACGAGTTGGTGCTAATAAAGATATTCTTTTCTATGGAATGTTACCTTTATTATCACGTTTTGCTCAATCATCGATATATGCATCAATGTTTAAAGATTCAAAACCATTAAATTTGTATAGTATTACGATTGGACCACCAGGTATAATGTGTAATATCCCTTTGTTGTTCATCATTTTCTTTTGGCATTCGGTAAGCTATAATGCGTGTCGAAATATAAATTAGAATAAAGAAGACGAAAATGATACATGTATATCTTTTAGTCTTATCGCATGAGAGGTTTTAACGACGTGCAAAAAAGTTAGTTTTTAATTTCTTGGTAGCCACTATCACTTAACAGTTGTCCGATTGAACTTAATTGTAATTTCGAAATACCTTTATTCTACTTACTTTATTATACAGGCTGTGGAAAATCACCAAATTTGAAACATTTAATGACAGCAGCCACAAAAGTCACAAAAATCTTTAAGCATGATTATATGAAAAATATTCCTCGTGATGCAGGGCATACACAGCTACAAAATACTGTGACAAATAGTCCAAATGGATTCTCAACATGTAAAGTTCCGTTTTCTAGGAGTCGGAGCACTGTTTGAACTTTACATTTTGTAATCGTAATCGCGCAGCCCTCCTTGCAAGAATAACGATGGTCGTCAGTACTTGCTTGCTGCTGCTTGTTGAGAATGTTCTTCAGAGTGTAATGTGAACAAGAAAGATAATTATAATATTCTATAGAAATAATTTGATATTGGCGATCCTTTCCAGTCAAGGGAGAAGTGAATCAGAATGATGAACGCTACTTGTAGTTGAAGTTGTTGCAATATTCTACGGAAAATAATTATATCCAGATATATTATTATATCCAGCAAATTAAGCATTATGCTCCGCACACAACAGAGCTTAAAATAATGAACCTGAGAGCTTCAGCTTAATCTTACCGAAATCGATTGAAGGATTGGTACAAAGTGATTTGGAATCCACAGATGATCTTCTTCTAAATCTTCTACATGTACGTTATTATTAGTCCAAAGTAACTTAGTTGTATGATTTATAGGAGCACCGTTTAATGAACGTGGATAAAAGGTTCTGTTCATGAGAGTCGCTTGTGGGTCGATTTCACCGTTTACAAAAGGAATTACTAATCTTAAATTACAGCTTAATACTGCAGGCAACGCAAAAATGTCCCATCCCTCAGCCCAACAGGTACGATTAATCATTTCGTTACATAAATAACTTGTTAAGTGTTCGTCTTCTTTGTCTCGTAACAATAGCCAGTTATAATTCGACATATAATATTCTTCGACCCCTCACCACCACCCTCACCCTCAATAAGTATAATAAAAATTAGCCATTCAGAAAGTTTACACTTAGACATCATTTCTGTCATGTTTATTAAGATATCTTCTAGACCTTAAACGTTTCGACAGCTGAATTGCCTTCAAAACTTCTCTGCGATGAGCTTTTATTCTTTTCCATATTTTGAAACGGAAATAAATAACTGTGAAGTAAAAGAATGTGAAAAAAAACTATCATCATCACTAATGACAAAACTGGTATAAAACGTCGGATAAATGCCGGTACAAAAAGCGTTCTAAATGGATCTGAATCGTAAAAGCAATTTTCAAAATCGTCAAAAACTTTATTTCTCTCCGTTAAATATGACGCTTCACCGGTCTTTCCTAATCCTGAGTTGGTCAAATTAACCCAAATACTACTGAAACATATATAACGAAAGAAGAACTAATGCCCTATCATTTCTTGTCTCGAATATTGATTCCTTCTTTTCTTGTAGGTCTATACCTAGGCAAGGTTTTATTCTACTACTTGGATGTATACGTTTATTCTGGCAAAGGAACTGTGTGTTACCTAGTCCATCGATCGAATAGGTATTTACCAAACCGTTTCTTCTGTTGTTCGCTACTGAGTTTTCTGTGTTTTTAGGCAGCAGGAATACGTACTTACTATTGAATTTGTCTATTAATTATCTCAGTACAGCGAAACCCTCCACCCTAACGATCACCACCACCGTCCTCAACTTAGCATCCCTCCACCACCGATGTTTAGTAGAAACTTGACATTGTGTTATAACAATTATTAGATATTTTTGTTAATTATTAATATTAAATCGTAATTGACAGTTTTAGCATTTCAGAATATAAGCATATCAGAATTTGAGCATTCCAGTGTATAATCATTTGGATATCTAAGTAGTTAAACCATTGCGATACATATTCGAGACAACATTTATAAGTGATTTATTACATTTCTTTGTCTGAGCACCGTTAAAAGCACTGTTACAGTCTCTTTTACTTACACTCTCTGGTGCTTTTAACTTTATGTCAGTGAACAGGAGAATATTGACGGATTTCTGTCGTGGTTGGTCTTATCATTTGCAGTACCGCAGATTCGAAGAAGCCTGTCGACACGCAACTTGCGCGCAGCGCGATTCCCTGTTATGTCCTCTAGTTGTTTATAAATTATTTTTAATAGATCTAACTTTATTGCTTGTCTTACTTCAGATTTTTGTGGTTGAATTCGCTAGTCCTTTTTATAGCAGTTAATGAATGATTATCGATTGGCTTACTACCTTCTTTTATAACTAATTCTTCTTGTACGATATTCGTATTATACAATGAGAATTGAACTCCAGCTATTACATGAGCAACATCCCCAGAGAATGTCCGGTTTATCTGTTCTTAAAAACAGAGTAAAGACTTATTTACTTACAGATGTCTGTTTTCTGCTTTTTCTTTCTTGTCCTGGTCAGCTACAAGACCAGACCAAGAAAGTGATACGAACAGATCAAGAAAAGCTGTTTTTATACTGATCAGACAAAACAGTAAATCTTGATTTGATCTTGAATTGTTTAGCCTGATCTTGGTATTTTCAGAGAAACAGACGCTGGTCAGTTTCAAGACCGGGACTAGATAGTTTTATTATAGTCACCATTTTGTTTTGCTAAGCCACATAGTATATGATAACCTCTAATTTTTCCACTTACAGTCAATGATGAGTAATGTGTAGAGATTTCTGCGCAGAATAAGACAAGAGACGTTTAACGCCATTCCGAAACCAATGGTCAAATCGGGTAGAATCTAAAGAATCTCTAGAAAACGTTCGTAATTTCTACTGACTTTCATATAATATGAGCGATTAGAGAGCAGCATGCTCAATTTTTGACGCTACGTACAAAACTTCTGAAAACTGGATGATAATCTCCCGACATTGAAGATTGATCAATGCAGGCCCTTTTTTCAAACACAAGTCCAGATTCGGCGCCATAAGCTACACAACTGAAAAGAAAATGTGTTTTGGACTTGAAAGTTTTTTGAATTTCAGTAGCATCAGTTGTTCGGTGCCATTTGTTCTTAAGAAGGAAAAATTTTTAATTGTTCGTTCTTTATAAATAAAAACAGAAAGACATTTAAGTGCTGAGAGGAGATTTTTAAGTTAGTAGAAGTACGTACCCTAAAACCCATCTCAATTCAGTGTTCCGAAAAACTTCTAATACGAAAATATCATCCCTTCTTTATTGTTTCCCTCTCAATATTCAACGAAGAACCATCAGTAGTATAGAGCAGTCAGCATAAGAGCTATGTCGAAGTTCGGGTCCCGTCGACCCACGAAGCAGTCACGATTTTATAGAGCTCGTATTATTCATACATCATCCGCTTTTCGGTTCTCCATCTTATCCACATGAACACACAACACCATATTTCCATGAGAAATGAAAGACCTTGAAATATGTACATAGATAATAACTAAGGATATGCACATAGGTATGTTTACGAATTTATAGTGACAGTAGCGATGAAAAGCCAATAAAGAAGTCAAATATGTCCTATAATAAGTCAAATTGGTAGAAAGAGAGGACGATAACAAATATGAGGGAGAGAAAGAAAAAAATTACCAACGTCGAATGATGAATTCAGATGTCTTGCACAGCAAAGAATATTATTCCTTCTTTATTCTGTTTTCCGTCCGCGATAAGAAGTATGTCGAAGGTCGGGTCCCGTCGACTGCCACATATAGGACTGTAAAAGTTCCCGTTATGTTGATTTAACGCTAACTATTCTGTTCGTTCCCGTTAAAGTAACGATAACTGTCTTTTCAGTTAGCGTTAAACCAGCGGTAACTGAAAAGACAGTTACCGTTACTTTAACGATAACTGCGTTTCCAGTTACCGTTTATTCAACGGTAACTATCAGCTAGTTAGCTGTATGGTAACTATTTTTAAGTATGCCAGAAATATCTATGCAGCTGCTTAAAATGGCTTCCAAAATCGTTAGTTTTCCACTAAAACTGTTGAAACTTTCATAAATGACATGGTTTTGATTGGCACACACGTGCCAATCAACTAAACTAATCGAAATTATATAACTTCAATGTTTTGTAACTGCGGTTTTTAAGGAGGTCTCAGCATCTACAAGCTTGAGAAATCTTTTTGTTTTCATAAACGATACTAGACTACAAAACCAAGTCATTTATGAAAGTTTCAACAGTTTTAGTGGAAAACTAACGATTTTGGAAGCCATTTTAAGCCGCTGCGCAGATATTTCTGGCATACTTAAAAAATAGTTACCATAAAGTTAACTAATTGATAGTTACCTTTATTTCAACGGTAACTGGAAACGCAGTTATCGTTAAAGTAACGGTAACTGTCTTTTCAGTTACCGTCAAAGTAACGGTAACTGTCTTTTCAGTTACCGTCAAAGTAACGGTAACTGTCTTTTCAGTTACCGTTGGTTTAACGCTAACTGGAAAGACAGTTATCGTTACTTTAACGGCAACTGTTTTTCTAGTTACCGTTGTTGATAACGGTCGAAGAAGTAACGGGAACTTTTACAGTCCTAGCCACATAGTTATAGTAACTTCTATGATATACATTTGATCTGTTCCTTAGTTCCTCAATTCATTTACATAGACAAACAGCGGCATATTTCCATGGAAAGTGAAAGACCTTGAAATATGTACATAGATAATAACTACTGATATGCACATAGTTATGATTACGAATTTAGAGTGACAGTAGAGATGAAAAGGCAATAAAGAAATAAGTCAGATTGGTAGAAAGAGAGGACGATAACAAATATGAGAGAGAGAAAGAAAAAAAACTACCGACGTCGAATGATTAATTTTGGGGTCTTGTGTAGCATAGAATATCATCCTTTCGTTATTTTTCTCGCTCTTCGATTAGATATAGATGAGTGTAAAAAAGAAAAAAGAAAGAAGAAGATTTGATATATGGTTGTTCGAAGGATTAAAGAACATAGAGGCAGCCTGGAAATCATGTGTTGATTGAGACTTGATTTGCATGAGCAGTTCTCAACAGAATAATAAACGAAGTGGGTAAGCGATTTGATTCTTTTGTTCAAATAGCGTACCGTTGTGTTTTGCAGCGTGTCAAACGTTTCGGTTTCTCCTATGTGTAAGGCATTGCATTTACAAAGAATTCCATATATTCCATATATATTATTGTCCGTTCTACTGCCTTTTCTAATTTTATTAACTGTATTTTGGTAATTGAAGACGCATAACTACTGCTCCTAAGAATGTCACTAGAACCTGTTAAAACTTTTTCATTAATCTTGTTTAG